CTGGTTTAATCCAGGATGCCTTAAGGGACTCCAAATCAGTATGAGGCATAGAGCAGGCCTTCCTCTCCAAATGTTGCCATATTTTGTAATCCAACGGATTAGAGTCTGGACTGGATGAGGGCCAGACTTCGTGCCGACTGAGGTCAATTTTACGCCCTACGAGCGGGTTTTGCGCGCTTTTGGCTCTATGAGCTGGCGCAGAATCCTGCTGGAACTCCCAGTGTCTGTTATTGGGCATGATTATGTGAAATATGTTCCATAAGCTTTGTGAGAACTACATTTTGATACAGAACGGCATTTTGTTTTTATGCCTTTCATGCAAAAAAAAACCTCAAAAAGCCCAAATTTGAGACATTCAACCAAACCTTGCGCGACGACAAAAGCTGGCCTTGCTGGACAGCTGAAATTAAGCTGTTGCTTCTTCATTGATGTACGCATACAACTTAACATTTTGTTTTTTTTTGTAACTCTCCTCCATGGTAAAAATAATCATTCCAAAATTTTTTTTCAAGGTACTTTTTTCTCGCCTACCGCTTAAGCAAAACGCAGGACTTCTTCAATCTTAGCTCTTTTTAACGCGCATCCTAGTAATTTTTGATTAAAACTTTATCATATTATCGTCTGATGAAACGATAAATGTAAAATTGATTAAATTCAAAATTTTCAGCACATCGAAAATCTGCTTTGGCGCGTACCAGTGCAGCGTGACAACTGCAGTTCGATCTTCTTTATGCGTCTACTACATATTTAAAAACATATGAAATTCAAAGCAGGGTACATTTTTAATTTCGTTTAATATTCTAAATTCTAATTCAATAAATATTTTAGAGACCTTCTTTCAAAATTTAAAAGTTATGATCATGTGACAGAACTTATGACCAGACTAGGTATAGTTAGATGTACACCTATAGATTAATTAAGCAACATTTTACATGTCAATGTGTTAAGTGGGATTAAAATTTAAGGAGACGTAAATGCCAGAGTTACGTTATAATCTGCATCAATAAAAATTGGCAATTAAAAAAAAACTATTAACATTGGCACATTTATTTTGGTCATCTTTGATTGCCTATTGAAGCAATATTTAGGGTACCTGAGATAGTTCAATCTCTTTTAAAGTGGAATTGTATCATATTATAGTATTTACAGGGTTCATGTGATGTGTAAATGTGAAATTGCCAGTTTATAAAGAAAGAAGGAAAGAAAGTAAGGAAAAAAGAAAGAGAGAAAGAAAAAAAGAAGGAAAGAAAAAAAGAAAGAAAGAAAAAAATAAAGAGAGAAAGAAAAAAAGAAAGAAAAGTATTTATTAGATGCGAGTAGCTATATAATAATTTAGTGTCATTCTGCAATAAACACGTTTAATCTTGTGAACTGTCGTGTATGGTTTATATACAAATAATATAGGGGCGTGGATTTGAACACACACGTTTAGTATAAAAGTAGGCACAGCTGACAAACTGCTCATTAACTCGATAATATTTTTCACTTGCAGTCGTCTCGGATATCATTTTGATAATGCAGAAACTGTTTGCTATAATTTGCGTCAGTGTGTCTTTGGAGTTGGTTTATTCAGCCGTTTACATACAACCGGCTGTAGAGAAACCGCCTGAGTTTGGTAAATACTTATTTATACTAATATTATAAAACCAAAGAGTTAGTTGAGTTGAACGCGCTAATCTCAGGAACTTTGGTCCGATTAGGTACTTAAACTTAGGTGTAGGCTTATCTTATAACCCCAGACTCCACCAAAGCGGAGACGAGGCGGCGAGTGAAGTAAGATATGTTTTAAACAACCAGTAGAATTTTGTTATTCACCTCGTTTTTTCTTCTTCTTATTCGGGCACTCTTGTCAGAGTGGTCGTGGTTGCGCTGACGAGGTACACGGTGGGGTGTTCGATGTCGTCTCCAAGGGTAGCTCTTCTGGCGATGTGCTTCCATTTCTAACGGTTAGAGGCGTCGCGAGGACGATTGACTATGGTAGACTCAGGAGCCTTCGTTTCCTAGCATAAATAAAAAAGAAAATACACTTTTATCTATCATCATCAGCTCAGATCATCAGATCAGCTAGAGCTGAAAAACATATCTTTCCCATCTCGGTTTTGGTAGAGTTCAACCTTTACAAAATGTAGTTTAAGAGAGACCTTCGGCTAGGTCCAAACTCTATAATTTACGAAGACTCGACTTGAACATTATAAGAATACAAGTTCAGCTGTGCTACAAACAATGTGTTTACCTACTTTTATCTCTCCTAAAACAAGAAAAACAATTTAAATCATTTTAATTAATGACGTTACAACTACAACAGCTCGTGTTTTGATTTCGTGATCAAACGTTCTGATCGTGGACTTTAAACGCACATAATTGTCGTATTATTTTAATTACGTACTTATTTAGTTTTACATTTGAGCCATTCCAAATACTTATATTAGCTCATAAAATATGTTTTAAAAATAACAAGTAATTTAGGTAGGTTTATCTACGCAAGCTACGAGTAGCTCTACCTTATTCGCCAATTATTCAATTTCTACATAATATTTTGTTTTTTTATTATTTTTATTTCTTACTAGCGGCCGCCCGCGACTTCGTACGCGTGGACCTCGTTTTACTCCATTAGGGGTGGAGTTTCGTAANTATTTTTTTCCAAAATAAAATGTAGCCTATGTTACTCGTGAGTTATGTAGCTTTCGAATGGTGAAAGAATTTTTAAAATCGGTCCAGTAGTTTTTGAGCCTATCCATTACAACTAAACAAACAAACAAAGTTTTCCTCTTTATAATATTAGTGTAGATAACTCACTCATGGATTGTTCAGTAACTGTAATTGATAAACAATGTATCTTCTGAATTTGTTTTTGACTGTATTTATTCATTCTAGCGTGCGAAGAAGGATGCTACAGTCCGGAACTAAATATTGTGTTGCCATACAACGAGCCTTACTCGCCTACTGACCAGGGTCAGTGCAGGCAATATTTGTGCGGAAACTCTGGGGACACTCAAATATTTACGTAAGTAAAATTAAAAATGTAACTACTCCATTTAGTTAGGAAAAGCAAGGTCCAATAAGAAGGCTCCTCTATACAAAGTGAAAAAATCATTGGCATTTCCCAAATGTGAGACAATTTTAATGTGATTTTTAGTCTTTATTTTTACTACAAACGTCCATTCGTTTCAACCAAATGACGTTCACAAATATTGTCGGTCCACCTAGTAGGCCTGCCAACACTACGCTTCGTTTCCCAGCCCGTGGTCGTCACTCCAGAATTTTTCTGCCCCAACGGCCATCAGCTCTACGAAATACGACTGTTAGAATATCCGGATTCCGGATGGTGCTCCAATGATACTTATTTGTGCCGTTTGGGGTTGAGACTATAAGGTCCAGCGCTCGTTATTTTTATAAGAAACTGGCAAAGAGGCTCAACGAGGTGACCGGTGATCAAAAGGCTGGCAGCTATTTCGGTCAGAGAATAAGCCTGGCCATTCAACGTGGCAATGCTGCCAGCCTTTTGGGCACTATTCCCAACTGCGGCGCTGGAGGTGAAATATTTTTTATTTTGTAAATAAGTATGCAACAGTGTTAACTGCCCATTGCCGGTCATGTCGCCTCGTTCTATCGCAAAGAATCACCATTTGATGAGAGCGAGAGCAAAAACGGAAATTGATAGTTAATTAACACTGTGGCCGTGTGTATAAATATTATTATAAGTAATTTTGAAAGTTTAGTTTTTAAGTAATTACATTAATAAGTTTTTAGTATATCCTACTAATTTATAAATGCGAAAATTTGTATGAATGTCTGAATGTCAACATGTTTGTTACTCTTTCACGCAAAAACTACTAAGCGGATTTTAATGAAACTTATAGTATTATTTTTTATAACCCAGAATAACATATAAGCTATAATTTATGACGATTTGTAAAAAAATAAATTTCACGCGGGTGAAGCCGCGGGCAAAAGCTAGTGTATCATAAAATTTCATCATTGTAAAATATTTCAGCTGCGGAGCTGTAGGTGCTGGTCCTGGCTGCGTAAAAGTCCCAGGGGATCTGTCGAAACCCTATCCAAATTGTTGCGACACCGTATCGTGCGATCCATCTGCTTCAAATGGCACTCAAACTGCTGTGGCTTAAACCGTTGAAATAAACCTTGCAATTGAATCTTACATTTCATTTTAATTAAGTAGGTACCTTCTTAACTAAAGTTGACAGCACATCAACCTCAAAATTGTAACTTACATTATGTTGTAAACAGCACCTACTAAAAGTAAATTATGACGTCGATATGTTTGACTAGGCTACATAGGCGTAGTAACTATAGGGTGGCAGGGTTGGCAAAACCCTGGCCCGAGGGGGGGCCTGACACAAGACTCTAGACAGGGTCCTGACTCCTGTCGCCCCCCTGAAAAATACCTAGATACGCCAAGGGCCCCGTGCACAGAATTCGTCACGGGCCTCGGATGGTTTAGTTATGCCACTATTGGCAGGTATGTACCTCTATTTTTGAACTATGCTGACCATCGCTATGCACTGACCTCCGATATAATAACCATTCACCAGAGTCAAATGGAGGATTTGGCGTACACTCTCCACGCTGGTCAGACGGGACTTGAAGAATGCAAAAGCTTTAAAGGGAGTCTTCTTCTTCTAGTTGTGATCCTCCACAGACTGCGGTTATATTAATAAGCTGTGTGGACCCACAATGCAAATTTTCGAACACGTCTGCCTTCCTTTTGTCACAAGATAAATTTGTTTTCCCAGACAATGTCTTGATCAAAGGGAATACTTTGTCAATAATACACAGCATAGTATCAAAATATTTTAATTAATTTAATAAAATAAATAAAATCAACAATTTGGTGGCAAGATAGCTTCATGAGTTAGAGCAATAACAACTTGTTTCTCAATTCTAACTCTATTAAGGAACTCTATCGAAATTAAATGAGCATCCGAAATTAGAAAGTCTGGCCACAGCCTCTCACTCATACAATCTTGTTTGTACTTATAATAATTAAAAACTAGTTAGAAACTAAATTACAACAAATCTCATGATTTTTCGTCAGTTCTTAATCTTACATGCTAAATGTACTTGGTCTTGACGTAAGAAGATACATTACAAAATTAAATGTGCTGATAAAAAACAAAATATAAGCACTAGAGCTTATTATGCTTATGGGAAGTAAGTATTATAACAGTTACAATAATAAATCATACAGGCAAGTAAGTTCTTCAGTTAGAATAGTGTCAATATACAAAAGAAAAGAGAGTCTAAAACAACAAACTCATTGAAGTTTCCAAGATATTTTGCTCATAAGATAATTTCAATTCATCTTTGGAGTATCACGCTAACAATAATTTAAGGTTCCAAACAAACACACCTACATACACCAATAATTTTCTCACTCATAGTAATTTAAACTTAATGTCTAATTTCACTTGTATTGACATTTCACTCTGAGTTATAACTTACAACCCGATCGTTTGACTCGCTGGAATGCGACTCTAACCCGCACTCACTCGCACCAGAGCGTCGATGTGACGTCACCCTCGCCAGGTGCGCTAGCCAGACCACGTTGTATTAATCTCAAATCCAAAATCAAAGTTCCAAAAGCGACTCATTTCATTCTTCCAGGCTTTACATTAGACCACCAAGTTTCAGATGCTTAGTTATAATTTAGTTTTTCGATACACTGTTGTCTTCTATGCACTTCACGTGGGGACAGCAATCGGGATAAGGTTTACTTAAATCTTCTTCCGTGACGTAGCAGGTGTCATCGCTAGTCATAACTTTGCCACATCTGGAATAAAAGAAAAATCGTTTTTAATAAACATACTTTTTTTCTGGGAATGAGAATGAAAACACTAGATTCATGAGATAGATAATAAGTAAGTACTTTTAATTTGCAAATATTGAGCGTCATTAAATTACAATACCTATTTCTACCTACAGTCTGCACTTATATTAACAACAACATTGACCTTTTAAACCATAGAGCCACTCTGATTCTATAAATCAACCAATCTCGAAATCATTGGGGAAGGTCTATGTTCACTAGTGGACGTTCTGTGACTGAATGATGATGATGATGAAACCATACAGGCCACGGCATCTGGAAATCATTGTCTGGGCTCTAAATGCATAATGTTCAGTAGTAGAATAATGTCTTGTGACTAATGATGATGACGATGATGGTAATGAAACCATGGATCAACAATAACACTTACGAAGCATAGTACATCATGCCAGCAGTGCATTCGATTCTATAGCAATGTCCGATGGGGTAGATGGTCTTGCCGAAAGGAATAACGTCGTCGATCTCTTTCACGTAACAGCCAGTTTTGTGAGCTGGAAAGAGAAGGAAAATACAATTAATATAATTACCTTCAATATTTAGCCAAATAATGGTAGAAAATATTAGTGAAAATAGAAGAGTAATGAATTGGGTTGGTTCTTCTTGCTTATTAAAGAAGACAATAAGTACTCGTGAAACATACAAACCTAAGTAAATACAGCTGGTTTAAATAATAATTCGAAATCAGCCATAAACAGACACCGACACATTTCGATAAGTTAAGGCATGTCTTCTAAAAGATTCAACTCTCGAAATTCAATTTATATTATATCTGTACAAATGTTCATCAAATCTATATCAATTATGGATACACACAAGGATAAAAAGATGTCGATGTTTACCTAAATATCTATCAGAAACTAGACTAGATTATACTCGTATTTTATTGACTCAGTGAAGTATTCTTCTAACAGCAGGTTCTACATATGTTCAAATTAAAATGTTGGCTAAATATTTTGTTTGATAGAAGTAACGTCTAACCGGGCAGCATGGAAAGCATTGGGGGAGGCCTATGTTCAGCAGTGGACGTCCTATGGCTGAGATGATAATGATGATGAACGTCTAACTTACTAAAGATATTTTACGGGTAATATCGGTAGCTCGAACTGAACACTTCGATAAATATCCAATAATCGTATATCGAACATATTCGTACGTACTGAGGAAGCAGCTTTATTCCAACAATAAATTCAATAATTGACCTTTATTTTCTAAAGATTGATCAGGGTCGCGAGAGGCCGAATTAAATGCCAAGTGTGTAAAATTCCTTCTTTATTTTCTGCTTGAAGCCGTATTTTGAGGGAATAACGGCATTAACTTTTATTGCTTTTACATACGCAGCCACGTCATTGTCTCTTCCACGTGAATTTATTTTTGAGTAGAAAGCAATATACCTACTAGTATGTAAAAAAAGAAAAAGGAGACTTAGAATAGTCCCCGAAATATCGTAAATAATTCCCAAGAGCAAAAATAGTCTTTAGTAAAATTTATCAAGCATAAATTAAAGCAAGATTGTCGTAAATGTGTAAAAAAATATATAACATTTATGATATCTACAGTTTCACACAATTTAATGTTTACTGTATAATAAGATAATGAGGGTTAATCATATAAAGGTCAAACGAACCGTCATCGCGTCATCACGTAATGTACGCTTATAAGAAAAATATAATTAAGAATCTACATGACGAAAGCTACTTAGTGATAATTTTAATGATGCCAAGGTTATTGTACAAAAATAACCAATAAAGGAAATAAAAAATATCATTATCATCTCTGATTCAATCCCAAAAACGTTTGGGATTAATAACGTTTAAGAAATAATTTATAAATTATTTAATGGAAGACACATAACTTAAGGATTAACTTTATCCAGCAACATTAATTTCCAATTATGAAATGTACGTGAGACGTCGGAGATATTTTCAAGAGGCCGACCTTCTGGGTTGTTTACTGAAGAATAACAATAATATCCAGTAAGACCACCACCAACCACTGTACCACCTAGAGTACAATAATAGTGAATGAAATTATGCTACTGTATGCACATTTCACACATCCACACACATCCTCAAATCGGATTGTAACTGGAACGTCTCCATTCGATTGAGTACTTTTAAGGCCTTCTTATCAAAAGTCTTGATAGTGCAATGTATAATTTTCCTTTTTATTTTGGACATAAAAACACAGGTATTACATAATTTATTATAAATAACGCTTATAAGGGCTATATTTCACCGGGACACCATGGCGGTGCAACCAGTCGCCGGCTACCAACAAATTGTATACAGCTCTATAGAGAGTTACTCACCTGGCGTCCGTTTGGTTGCGCAAAGCTGTATACATTTTGTGGGTAGCCGGCGACTGGTTGCGCCGCCATGGTGTCCCGGTGAAATATAGCCCGAATAGTTAGATGTTTATCTGACAATAGTACAAACTAATAAGGAAAAAAAGATTCATCGATGTCGTACCTCCTCAAGTGACATAGAGCCCTTAAAAACATCGACATTTATTTTTGTACCTCAAAGGTAAAAGAAGTCGTAGAAGTAGAAATGTTTCTGAACAGACATGTGTCGGATTAGCAACGAATTAAAGTGCATCTAAGAATTAACCTACTACCTCTATCTACATTATGCGTACACCCTGACCTCATGCGATGTGCGCAAACAATACAGCATTCCACAATATTACGAACACCTTCAGACAATAAGAACGTAATTGTTCATGAAAATGATACTTCAATCTTAAATAATAAGCTTTAACATTCACGCCCGTATTCACAAACGATGCTTGTTTAAGTGAAGCAGCAAATCGAAAGCACAGCGTTGAATAGAGCTCTGTGATTGGTTCGTGAGTGATCCTGTGCATCCATAAGCACTGTGAGACGGTTAGACCTCATAGTAATGTTTGTGAATACAGGCATCACACTCTTTGTATGGATGTAAATTTTAGTATCAAAAGTCAAAAATGATATTTTCTTAATATATCTTGTAGAGATTAATAAATCTATAAATAAACTGTCTCAGTCTAGACTCAGAATATTGTGATTTCAGACTGTAAGGCAATTAGCTTAATATAAAATGTAATCATTCATTTTATTCGAGAGTTAATCACATTTAACTTAGACTTAATCACATTGTGTTTGTTTAACTGTGGTTAGTCGAAGGGCTATGATACATTTTCAGTTAAAGCTTGATCAAACCTAATGTTGACTGTCACAATTGTTGTCACGTATTGTGATTCGTAGATTATATTAACTATGATTATTATTTAACTACAGGTCTTTTAATTTTAGAGCTTTTGGAAAGGGTGTATTCAGGAGAGATACTTTTTGATTTCAATGGGCATTAGCTAAGACCCTGAAGGCTGAAACTGCCAAAATTACTAATTATTTGTTTTCGCGTTAGTCGCAATAATATACAAGTTTTGGCTTGAATTAAAAACACAGGCCTCCCCAACCTATCCGGCCAGCTTAAGGAGTGTAAGCTTAATTAACCCTCCATTTTGTCCGTGCCAAAGTTGATACAAAACGACCTGACAATGATGCCTATCTCCTGGCCTATGTAATTCAGTGCACTGTTTACAAAAGCCAGCTAATTGGCTTACGTCTGACATCTTCGTGTTAACATCGACCTCTGACTTGATTATTTGTTGCGCTAAGTTTCTGTGTTTAAATGTACAATTGTTAATGTGATTAGTTAAGATGTTTTCATTTAGTTCTTGCTTATTTTGTCTTGTTATTCAATTTTGAACCTATTTATTAACTGTAATAAAGACCAGTCTATGAGAAATCCGTATTTGCTGCATAACAGATTGACCTGCTATTTTGTTGTATAATGTTGTTTTGAAAGTTTGAAATGCAAATTATTAGTATCCCAGACTACGACATTACTATAATAAAATATTAAATATTGTATTAAGTTCGCAATAAATAAATTAAAACAATACGAGTATAATAGAATGTACTTGCCCAGTACTTATTTCGTTCACGTGAAATTTAAAAACATAAAAAAAACGGTTGTAGTTTTAGTGGCTAAGGCTGAGCTGCACCATCTTACTTTAAATTTAACAAACGTCAAAAATCTGACAAACTTTATACAAAAAGCACACATGCACCGGTTATCGTTATAATTGCGATAAAGTTAGCCGGTACAACTCAGCCTAAGAGTTACAATAAATTTTAATATAAATTTATCCTGATACACCAATCCTAAGTAGGATTATTTGTCAATAATAAAACTACCGGCAAATATTGTTTTCGTGTTTTGTACCAATTTATTTAAATTCAATTAAGCTCACGGTCCCCGATGACGTCCGCCAATCAAGTTTTCTACTCTTTGGACTCGCGAAACGTCTAATAAATGAGATCGTAAAATCAATTTATTACACAAAAACGATTTCGTATTTTCTCTAATTTGTGCTTTAGCATTTTTTGGTTTGCTACTTAATAACAACCTGGTTTGGATTACTGTTTAGTTATTGGTTATTTATTATTATTTTGAATAATACCCGTTAACAATAACCGTTTAACTGTTACTAAAGTAAGGCAGTGTTAACGTAGCTGACTGCTCAGAGCAGTCTTCCTGCCTGAAAAAAGTTTTTGTCGAGTGAAAACCGAATAGCTTTTACTCGTAATCATGAAACTAATACTTTGTTCTATAATTCTAATTAGAGTTTTATAAAATGTTAACAGAACTGAGAACAATCCATAGCAGCTATGTTAATTTAAAATGAACAGTAGGTTTAACGCATCATAAATTAAAATAGTTCGAATTAACCGCTTTCTTTAATCACTGTAATTGATTAGGTTTGGTTTTTAAACAAAGCAATCAGCTACTAATTAGCACAAAATTTTTTACACACTTGTTTACATTTACACGCATTTGTTTTAATTCAACAGTCTTATTTCCAATTTATCCGCGGAAATTTTGAGTTTCGAGAGTAATTCACAATATTAAACAATCTTTTCTTTAAGTTTTGTTTCTCACTTTTTATTTGATATGCAAGAACATCAACCAAATCATTATCTCCTACACTCACAAAAAACAAAACTCACCATGCTCCGCGGGTTTTGGGGGCAAGTAGCCTTGCCATGTCGCGGCACAGGAGAGTCCCACTACCGCCAAAAGAAAAGCAATCCTTGAGATCATGTTTAAGAAGTTACTGACGTCTAAAATACTTTTTAAATAGTTATCAAACGTCCTGTCAAGGTACGGTCAGAAGCTCGGTTGAGACTGGTCACTGCGGCGATTCGCGCTTGTTTTTATTCGAAACAGGCTGCCAGCAGACGAACGCCTTATTCGTTAGATGTTTATAAACATGACATTAACGTAATCATCCAACTTTAAAGGTGAACGCACCTTGGCTTGCCTTAGCTTGGCGACTTCGTTTCAGCTGATTACAGACTAATGAAGATTTGGGGTCATCTTAACTTTTTCCAGTTTTTTCTCGACTACCGTGTCACAAAAGGTTTTTTTATGAAGACCTCGACCTTCATAAAAAACCTTTTTGTGACACGGTAGTGCTTAGAAAGAGAATGACTGCAATTTTCTAGATTTTAAATCTAAAAGAGTCCTTATGGACTGAAAAAATATTGTTTAATCTTCATTTTTTAAAACATTTTCTATTTACTACCTTGAATAAAATGCAAACGAGGAAGGAAAATCTAACGTGAAATCTCTAGTCAGTAAACGACTCATATTATGCAAATTAGTAATGTGGGATGACAATCAAGATGGGCCGATTGTTTATCTTTAGGTACCTTGCATACAACTTCTGCATTTTGAATTTTCAAAATTACAAAAACACATAATATAGTGTTTCTTATTTAATCCTTAGTAAAAATACAAACTATAAATAAAGCCATTAATTACGTATACTATTTTTAATCAGTCTTCCTTCTTCCAAAAAAGATTTCGCTAAAAACTGAAATAGGTAAGATCATAAATGAAACATCATATAAAAAAAATATAATGTCCTCAAAACATTATAAATTCTTCAGTGTCAATGATATTAAGCTTTATTTGTACTAATAAAATTGACATAATATTATTTTGAAGCGTATAGACAGTGCGTTAAAAATAGAACTATACCGGCGTAGTGCTCGCCAGGCCTTACGGAGGACGCCACATCGGAATGTGTTCATGGGATTTACAAGTGATTCATCTTCGGATGTAAACAATGTTTTTATTGCCGAATTCGTACCAGATCCGTGTACATTCCGAACATCCTTGTACGGCCGCGGCCGGGCGACTGTGACAAACGGTGAACTTTGGATCCGTGTCGGAGATTATCTTTTAGAAATGCGACCTTTTGTATGTTGAACATTTTTGAAGTCTATATTTTTAGAAAACTATAGATGTTAGTTTCATCGTCATAATCATATTTTGTGGCGTTTTTCAAAACTACAAAGGGTTTACCTTAGCCAGTATTACTGTAAATCGTAAAAAACTATGCGGGGACAAAATTAAAAGTGTCTTATCCTGAAAGGGATAAACTGGATAAAGGTTATCTTCTAGGGCCCATCATTCTATAGGGAAAATGTGTTTTAAACTATATTATACTTCATCATCATCATCATTTCAGCCATAGGACGTCCACTACTGAACAGAGGCCTCCCCCAATGCTTTCTATGTTGATCGATTATAATAACTTAAATTTAAGTTTATTCAAGGTCGCTGCTGATAGTTTAGTGTTAATTAAGTCTCTGTCTAACCTTTAACCTTACGATTACATTATCACAAAATACAATTTACTTAAAAAATCTGTGAAGACTTTATTATTAGTAATTTAAAATAATTTAATAATTTTTACCATGCTGTTTATTTGTCTAAACACATTGGCGCCATAATAAGTTGTTTTTAAGACATTTGGTCCACAAAAATGTCGTTAGATAGGTACCTTCACGAGAGCTTTGACGTAACAAATTCCCGGACTAAATACTAACCATTTATAATGCCATTTCAATAATATAATTCTATGGAACCGGTCTCTACCAACGTCAGTGAGAACTGGTTCACATTGTGCGCCGATAATTTATCGGAACGTTATATTGTCGGTAACCACAGGGTTTAATAACCACCCACTTGTCTAGAACCAAAAAAGTGTCGCCTGAATGGTGGTTTCCATCATTCTTTATTACCTATCAATCTTAAGATTGATATACTTTTTTGAACTAACGAATTGTCGACACCTGCCGATTACTCATATAATTTGTATCAGTATATTGCAAAGTGCTATGACGTCACCTGGTGCATTTACTTTTTATACCAATCCACTGACTATTTTTTGGTTTGAAAATAACGCACTATGCCTTATATTCAAAAGCTAACTAACTCTAGGCATCAATTGCTCACGACAACTTTTTTCTACCCAATATACCTACTTAACTCGTATAAATTAAAAGGTGTAATAAAACTTGTATAATGCTGAAAACATATAGAGTCTATGGCTTTTTCTTTTTAATTTACTAACTGCATCGAAAGACGATAAAAATCCGGTTGGTGTCAATGTGAACCAACTCAAGCTTTACATAAGTTAAGACTCACGACTACTATTATATTTGAATCATAATTACCATATTAAATCGTGGCACAGATAAATCGATACTACACTTTTGCTCTTATGATTTTGTTGTCTTCGAATGTCAAACAAAAATAGGCGGTAAACCACAAGGACGCATTTTTTTTATAATTATAATAAGTTAACTCTATAGCCAAATGACGTCCACTGCTGGACAAAAACCTCCCCAAGGATTTCCATAACGACCGGTCCTGTGCTGCCCGCATCCAGGCTATTCCCGCGACCTTTACCAGATCGTCGGTCCAACTAGTGGGAGGCCTGCCCACNATAAGAGGTAAACTGGCGAAATGAAATCTGTTATTGCCAGACAATTCGCCCGTGCACACCACGCATGTTGCAAGGCTTGCCCCGGTTAAAACTAGATTTTAAGAAATTAATCACCTATCACACAGTTTAGTCTAAATCCTTAGCTTTTTTTTTCTAATTCTCAATTTGGAAAAAGGACCTCCAGGGACGAAGATTTTTGAGTGACAAAGAAATGAAGGCGTACTTAGTTAGAGGATCATTTCGAAGGCAAAGTTTGCGAATTTTTTTTCAGTGGGTTAAAAGCTCTTTTACACAAATGTAAGAAGTGCGTTGTAGTAGAGGGAGATTAAATAGAAAAATATATTTTTTATACTTTTCTATCGGCATTTTTAATACCTTAGGCTCAAAACTTTTCAGCCGCCCCTCGTACGTATAGATTTTCAAACTGTAGAATTATTGTAGATTGTTTACACTAGGCGCTAGTTATCTCTATGGTCTCCCTCCACTATGTTTAATAAGTACTTGCGTTGTGGTCTTCACTGCAGGATCACACGGCCTTGACACGGCTTTCTAGGCGTGTTCTAGGTGTCTTACCAGGGAAGCAAAGGGGTTTCACTTACACTTTTATACTTACTTAACTACCTAGCGGAATATTAACTTGGTACGATGCCCATTGACCGGGGTGCGTCGGAGCGCACTTACACGGCCGTAAAAAAGAAGTATTTTATCAACAGTTCTTAGAGTTATCTGACATTTCAATCCGGACGGATGCGCGAGCATGCGTCGGAAGCCTGTCGGCTGTCGGCTCCGCTAAACTAGTGGATATTTCTTTTATCTGATAACACATTCAGGTTCGCCTGAATTTCGTTGTGTACCAGAATTGAGTATTCGACATCAGTTCCAAGTCGAAACACGCGCGGTGGAGAACGGAATTTAAAAAGGCGGAAATTATAGCTAGCTGTTTTTGTCAGATCCGAACACAGATATAGATATATCTATATCTGTGGATCCGAACTTTCCCGTGACTTAAGAGCGTTGTCACATTTTTCATGCAGAAATCGAGAATTTGGCAGATTTCGAAATGATTTTAGTCATATAATTTATTGTTATAGCTTCTTTTGACTTATATCATCGTAATTATCATACATTTTTACGGAATGTCTATTGACAAAATTTCGTTCAAATTGGATTTTTGCCTACGAAAACAGCGAATTTCGAAAGCCCGATTTCCAGGTAACTCGCGAAGGCACAACTTTGAACTAATATTACAACAAATTTATTTCTAAGTAAGAAGATAGAATGTATTCATTAGAATAAGCATACCCTGAAGAAGAAAGTGTATTGAGAAAATTTTGATGTTTAATTCATTAAAATGCATTTTTATCATGTCTAAGATAGTCAAAATTCGAGAAAATTACTGCAAGAAAACAGGTCACATCTCATAATCTAAAAGTCATTTGGCAACATAAACTACTTTATACTTAAGAATCGTGAGCCTTGTTAGGGTTACACTGGTTAAGGCGACCCTTTACAAGGCTTGGAAGCATGTGGGTAACAAGCCATTGGACGTGGAGAGGGTCATTAATTATACGTATATTTTCTACTTTGCCGAACTTTAGCGCGAGAACGGTTTGTCCAAAACATATGAATTTGGTCTTATTCAATGTAGGATTAAGTGCCCTTTAACCGTCATAAAGACCACTTTTCGATAGGGTAAGTCCTTTACGCGGTATAACCGGAAAACCGAAAAAACGCCCCTTTCGGGGGCCCCCACCACTTAAGCACAACTCCGTCGAAGTCGAAAACTTAGGAGAGTCTTAATGGGCAACCAATGAAGCCATTAAAGCAAAAAATCTTTTGTAGGAATTATTTCCGATTTAATCAATTTTTGTGTTTAATTCTACTGGCCTAGGTTTATAATTAACAAGACTGATTAAGATTTAAAAAATCTTTAATTTCGTATTTATAAAATTAATAATCTCTATACAAATATTTTAACTGTGATAAGTAAAAGAAAAAATTAAATCTGTGAAAATTTTCATTTTAGAGTAAATCACAAACTCACAATGTTGTAAGAGACATTAATTTTAATCACAAAGTCGTAAGAGACAAAAGTTTAGGTTAATTTATTCCAATGTCCAGATAACCCTAAAGGTTATTTTGCAATAAGATAAATCGATAAATAGGTTAATGGTAATAATACGGGTAATACAAGGTCAAAATAATATTATTTTTAACTTTACGAAGAAGATAATGAATGAGGTTTTTGGAATAGTTGAACATGATTATTTTCTAACAAGGGCACATCGAGTTTTACACTGATATCTTAAATGCAGTACCTAAATACTATTTTGCAACGAAATAGATCGGTTATAGATTTTTAAATCGTAGTTATCGAATATTCTGAAAGACGTTTTATTTCGTACCATAAATT